GAATGCTAAACCGTGCAGCCTACCTCCACACTGTTTCCTGCATGAAAAATTCAAGCCCTTGTAAGCTGAGCTGTCATGACTGGAGACTAACTTGTGTGATATATGGACTGCTGGATTTAAAACCCTGCATACGTAGAGGGACAGATCCCTGACAAATACTGCAGAAAATTCACAAAAGCACAGAGTAAATCTCAGTAACTCTGACAGGTACATGTACACTTAATACTACAATCACGCAAACCACATTTGAACTTTGATTTTCAAAGCGATTTAAAGTAGAGGGGGGGGAAAGCAAACGCTTTCTAATAACAATTCTTACAGGCAGTGGTTTGGCGACTCCGATCTGGACCTTGCCGAGCTTGGCCCCCTTAAGGGCCTGGACGGCATCCTCCAGGCTGGCGTTCTCCAGGTTGGTGGTGTTAACGTACATGAGTCGGTCTCCTGGCAACAGCCTGCCATCCTTCTCTGCGACACCATTGGGAACCAGAGAGCGAATCACAATCACCGTTTTGGCCGGGTCCAGTGGGTCCTGCGGTGATGTTAGGCCAGCACAAGTCAATGAGTAAATTATCTCAGCCTCATATGGAGATCACATCAAATTCAGGTCATTTTCTTAACCACTCCCACACACACACGTGGGGTATTCATATCTTGTGGGGTCATCTAATTGACATAATGCTTTCTCTAGCCCCTTACCCCAACCCTAACCATGAAAAATGAATGCCTAACCCTAACCCTAACCCTTAGCCTAAACCTAACCATATTGTCACTGAAACCACATTTTGAGTCTCAAAAATGCCTTCAAACTTGAGGCAACCATAATCCTGGTCCCCACAAATAAACTTCCAATTTTTGGCCTCCACAAAGATATGAATACACACTCAGACACACACACGCACACACCACTGAGCTTTTTCCATCTAATAAAAGTAGCCCATATTGTGAATATGGCCATGTTTAAATATCCTATAATACAGAAATACACACAATGTAGACATGTTTAAAAAACTAAAGAAAGAAAACTCATCATCTAAACATGTTTAAAAAGGATCTTTTACCTGAATATTGCTATTTGTTACATTTCCATTAAACCCTAGAACATAATCCCACCTGATAATCCAAAATGCTGAATCCCAATCCCCCTTCTCCTTTTTCGAGCTCGATATTCTGGATCTCCAACTCCCACATAGCCAAAGGGGATCCTATCGCCTCCTCGCTCACGTTGCCCTGTGTCGCCGCTATTGTATTCACCTCTGAGTCTTCAGCAACCACTACACCGCTGAGGTCTATTTGATTCTGCACAGAAAGGAAAAACCCAAAATCACTATGTAACCCCATGCCTTCGTCGCTTTGACTCTCAACCCATAGGCTGCTCCCCTCTAGTTCTGTTTCTGGCTCAGGTTTCTGGCAGCAGATGAAAGGGAAATATCTTCGGGATGCTCGGGCCTTAGTACATTATCACAGATAAAGCGAGAGAGATGAAAACCCCCTTACCCAAAGGAAAGCTGCTTTTGATGTCTCATATCTCTAGCAAATGTTGCTGGCTACTGCTGAGGTATTGCTAGAATTGGTCTTAATAAACGCTCAGCCTTCCCTGCTTATCACTAAGTCTTAATCCATCTCTGGCTGGCAGTGTGGAAACCTGATAGAGCAATTGACAGCAAGCTAATAATGGTTGATGAGTTAGAACAGAGAAGGAAGACTTAAATAGCATCATTCTCAAATTGCTTTATATGCACAGGCAGGAAAACATATTCTATGATGTGGTAATGCTTTCAAAAAGAGGCCTGCATGTGCATTGTCTGCTACAGTACTTTCTTAGTAATATACACCGGACAACTGATTATCTGAGTGTTAACACAGATATCTAACCAGCCAATCACATGGCAGAAACTCAATGCATTTAGGTATGTGGACATGGTCAACACGATGTGTTCAAACAGAGCATCAGAACCTTGTTGAATCTGTGCCATGAAGAAATAAAGCAGCTCTGCAGGCAAAAGGAGGTCCAACCCAGTACTAGCTAGGTGTACCTAATAAAGTGTCCTGTAAGTGCAGACTGCACTTTTACTTGGATGTTTTTCGTGTTCAAAACAAGCAAGTATTAAACGGACTGCAGCATCATGAGTGCAGGTACCTTCAATTTCGATGTTGTGGACAAAGCCTCTGATTCTCTCTGCTCAGCATCCATCTCAGGCTGAAGGTCGGGGGCCGGCCTGCAGCATGTCACGTACACGTGGAGCGGAAGCTCCTTCAAGATTCTCACTACTTCTTTGTGGGTCTCACCAATCAAGGAAATGCCATTGACCTAAGAAAGGAAAGGTTAAAACTTAAAACTAATCATAATATGAGTTTAAAATCAGGACCAAGTGGTTACAGTACATGTCACGTGGGATAAAGTGCCTCTCAGCAGCTGAGCCTTAGCTAAACGGATCTCTGCTGCAGATCTTCGTGGACATTTTCTTACTATTCCTCCTAAAACAAAAAAGGCAAAATGCCAAAGAATAATTTTAGTAATCCCAAGAAGCACTTCTTATATTTATTTATTTACTTATTTATTTTATTTATGTGTGGGAAGTGGAAAAAGTTGTAAACTCAGTACTGACACCTTTTCAACCTACGTTTGCAGTTCTCAAACTTATTTTGGCACCTCAACCCTCCTCAAAAAGAGAGAAGGGATCATTAACCATACGAAAGAATCCAGCTTAACACAGCTGCTGTAGCAAATCCCTGTTTATTTTCTCCAGCTAAATCATTTAACATTGATTCACCCATATTTTCCCAGTAGCCTACTACGCTGCACAGTTTGCAAAACCACTGACTTAAGTTATTGTGGCAACAGTTGCCCAGCAGAAAGGGAGCAACATAGCAACATTAGCATTAATCTGCAGATTGGTGCCACTCTTGCAGAAAACAGGAGGTTTTTAGACCTTTGTACTGAAACGGCCTCCTGCCAGAGATGGAAATGAGAGTGGTGAGAATAAACCGGAACAGCTAAAAGGCAAGCCATGAATACAAAACAAAGACCTAAAAGTAGCAAAAACAAATGTAAAACCAGGAATTTATTTACCATAACTCCAAATAACTCATTTGGAAACATACTTAAACAGCTGATACACCACTGATTAATCCAGCTTTCAGCTCTATGTGGAGTGATTTCTATTACTTTCTTTGGGGGAACTATATTTGGGGAAATATATGGAGCGTAACCTCCTCAGACTTCACCCTCTTCCCCAAGCATCCTTGAAGTAGGTGAAGTTGTATCAGAAGCTTATCCTCTGTTGGTGAATTTTTAGGTAGGAATCATTCCTAATAAGTGAAGCCCATACATGCCTTATTGGCATATACAGCAGTTGTCAGGCACTGTGTTATAACTACAAAGGAAACACCACAAAGACCATTATGATCAATGTAAGTACTTCCAGAGTTGCTGTATGACAATATGTACTGCACTAAAACTGAGCTCCATGAACCAACCAACCTTCTGTAAATACTAATAACAAATGTAATTTTTGAGTATTATACCTCAAGCAGCTCATCTCCACTAAACAGCTTGCCACAGCGACCGACCGGTCCCTCAGGAAGGACAGATCGAATGTAATGATGTCCGCTGTTGGCTTCTAGACTGATGCCCAGACCACTGTTCTCTGTAAACTTCTCCACCTGAGCCACCTGTCAGGGTAACAGTAAATCACATCTCTTTATGTGAAGTCTGTTCATGATTCAGACCCTTTTGTTTGATGACCCAGGTCACTGTTATTTTTCACAATATCTGCTATGAATCCAAACAGTAAACTTACCACAACTTCATTACTTGGGCCCAGAATTTCCTGCCACTTCTTCATTAACTCCTCCTCTTCAAAAGGTGTTAAGCTCGCTTCTTCAAAAACACAATATGTTATGTAATAACACACAAAAATTAAGACGGTGTTGTCATAAGCCATTCACAGGTGGCACTGCACCATAAACCTCCAAGTATAAGCAAAGTACTTGAAAATGTGTCGTGGAAGATCAAATAAACCCTTATCTGCTACCATTTAAATGTCTGAACCTAGCAACAGCAGCCGTCTCAGCACGTCCTCACATTGTGTGCTGCTAGTCGGTGTGGTCCTGTCAATAGAAGCCCTTATCTGTCAGATTTGGGCCCAGTATTCCTGCTAAAGCACACGGAAAAAGCATCTCAGCCTCCTACCATGTTTGTCTTCTGTTAGCTGATCCGTGGCAGGGCTGACATCAGATCCTTCACTCTTTGTGTGGAGCTGCTTTTCATCTGTGGAGACAGTAAACACACAACGGACAGTGAGACGCACAAAGGAGCCATCGACCTTCCACCAGCAGCACACGCACAGCACAAAAAACCCTCAACACAGAATCTGTTAGTGCCTAATTACTCTTGCTTTGAAAGAGGACCTTCTCTCTTTTCCCTTTAAATCAAAAACACATAAAGCGCCTTTGCTAATGTTTGCTAATCCATAAAAATACCAGGACTTTTAATACACGTTTAATGAGCCTGGGACTCATTTTTGTCTTTGGGGTTCCGCAAGGCACAGAACTGGTCACCCATGAAATGAATACTTGACATGAAGTGAATTTTATATTAAAGTCTTTTAAGTACAAGCATACAAATACAACTCAGCAGATTGTTATGGAAGGATGTGACAACAGTTTAAGTTAATGGTTCGATTTCTTTCTGTTGTTTCATTCATTTAATGATTGAGCAAAAAGCACACTGTGCTCATGCACACACACACTCCTGTTTCTCCTATACTCAGAGTTTTCAAAGCAGCCAAAAACTACCCTTCTTCCCTTTAGTTTCTCTCATAGCTGTTGGTTTTCTGGTTTTCTTCATGTTTCAACTTCCTAGTGCTAAAAATAATCACTTTCAGTCTCCATCTATTACTGCTGACACTAAACAACTTATGCAAGTTGCTTGTCTTTCTTCTGCAACAGCCCAGAGGTCCTGTCAGCAGAGCTGGAGACAAAAAATCTTCTTCCTCTTATTTAATGCCAATATTACATAAATGCAAAGGTATTAGAAAAACACACAAGAGATAAATGCAGATTTCTCCTTGGTTGTGATGTTATGCATTGTGCACTATTTTACTATTCTAAAAGTTGATCTACTTCAACTCTTAACCAACATGATGCTAAGTTTTGGATTCCGTACAAAGACGGCTGTTAAATTTCTAGCCAGTCTGACTGCTACGAAGGGTAGTGCTTAAAAAGCGCTTAACTATACTGCCATATCTGAGAAAATAGTTTTTGTCCTCTTGGCATTTGTCAGCAGCGTTAGTTGGCATATTTCAACCTCTAATTAGGAGCGACGGGGCAGTAACGTGGGAGTATTCTGCTGCTATTATGAGGAGGAACCTTTTAACCTGCAATAAGCAATTATTTTTCAATATCAGGAATTGGTGTAAAATGGTTACTCGCAATATGAAAAAGTCGATTTCTCTGCAACTGAATGATCCTGTGTTCAGGCTTCAGCTTCCTCACTCTATGCATATGATGTTGTTTTAGGCCATAACTCGAGCCAACAACATTTGTGTGTGGCAGGAGTAAGTTCTGTTTGCACCTGTTTACAACACGATAAAAGTGTCTGAAATTTCCTTTTGGAGTCACATGGAAATGACTCGTCACTGCATCATGAAACTCCTGTCTGAGCCAAATTTACACATCAAATGACACCTTTTTTGACAGGATGATGAGAAGCAAGCATTTTTAAAAAAAATCTATCCTCATTAAATTTCTCTCACTTAATCCATCCTACCTTCGGCAGCCTCCTCAGCTTTCTTTCTCTCCAGCTCCAGCTCCTTCACGACGGTGGTGGTTGTGGGGATGGTGGTGGAAGGGGGGAGGACGGTGACAACGGGGTCTGTGACAGGGGGGATCTCATCGGGCCTGAAGCCCCGCCGGATCAGCTTAAGGTGCACCGTCTGGCCCGTGTGTCTCAGCACTTCAACTGCCTGTTGATTGGTGTATTCCTGGATGTTCACGCCGTCGACCTGCAGAGGGCGATCTCTCGTGAGCCGGTGGATTAAAGGAGAGGCAGAACGGCTTGCTTGCACAATATGAGTGTGCTGAAGCGCCATCTATGTTCTTGCTGGAAAGAGATGAACTGCAATGGCATTAACTAAAGACTGATTTCTGCACCCGAGTGTCGTCTAATCCACGACTTCATTCATTTAGGTCATTCAGGGCAGGTAGGAAGTAGATAGTTTTAAATCCCTCACAATCATGAGCGTTTAGGTGAACTCCCAAAGCAAGTCCATCCTCACACACCAGCACACCAGAACAAAGTAAGTCAGAACTTCTTCAAGAAAACATGTAAAAACATCCACTCATGTCTTCACTGTTAATGACCTACAGTAATGAAATTACAGACTTAACTGCTCGGTGTCCTGTTTCAAAACTCTTTTATATTCAGAGTCGCAAGAAGAACAAATAAAAAGCATAATTGTGAATTATTCAAATTCATGCATCTCATAATTTCCCTCCATTGCCTAAATGTGTAAATTTGATCACAATCAATGATAATATGAAACGTTTACTGCATGTTTGACCTCGTTCTGCTGAAAACAGAAGCCAGTCGTAACCAAAAGAGCATAATTAGTGTACTTACTGCTATAATCTGGTCTCCAACGTGAATACGGCCATCTTGGTCTACAGTGCTGTCTTTTGTTATGCTCTTAACAAAGATACCAGAGGGCTCTGAGGAATCAGAACAGTTTAGACACATAAATGGGTGAAGACATTAAATGTGTTTCAATTTGTGTTTCAATAAACGGAGGGCACTTTTTACTAACTTTACAAATTACAGATCCCTGAACATAATCAGAAATTTCAAACCATTTACAGAACAATCAGCTGTTCTGCATTCAATAAGATGCCACACAAATTATTTGTACCACTCCACTATAAAGGACAACGTCACAGCCTGATACCTGCAGGCCTGACAGCAGCAGGTGTATCACTGCTCCTGTTTCTACCTGGTTTCTACTCTGGTTTTACGTGGCCTATCAACACAATTTAAAAACTGGTATATATCACCTTGTTGCTTTGTCATCTTAAAGTAATCATGTGATTGGCTTACCACGACTACTATATTCTTCCTCAGTCAAACAGCAGCCCTCGTGCAATTGTTTTGCCCCCTTAGCTCCAGGTGTTGTACCAAAAAGTGATCCGTCGGGCAGAAAGTGATTACCGTCCGCGGGGGTGCGCGCAGCTGCTTAAAGCTGTAGTGCCCAGATTACTTACGTAGTCAGCTATTTCCGTACAACTGATGCAGTAAGATGCAGTAAGTTGAAGACAGCTTCAACCGTCTGGTTGTTGAAAAATAGTAACGCGACCGCACCGCATTTTCTTGTTAGTAACGGTAACGGCGTTGTAACGATAGAAATAGTAATTAGTTAGATTACTGGTTACTGAAAAAAGTAACGCCGTTATTCACATCACTGGTCGCCGCTTTACTGCCTGATCTTCATTGCTCCATGTCTCATAAAGGCAAAAAATTCCTCACAAATCACCTTAAAATCTCCATATTATTTTTTTAAAAAATCAGTTTTTCACCTGAATTCTTATCTCCAACATAACCAGCAATAGTGATCCCGAGTCCTTGGGTGTTCTTAGTAAGGCTCACATCAAATGCCTCAGCATCCTCTTCCTCGTAGCCCTGCGTGTAGACGCAGAGAAATGAGTCAGCATCACAGCACAAACCAAATGAAAGAGATGTTTTACTTTAGAACAGAAGAAAGGAAAATTGCGGCACATCAAAATACATTGTTTAACTTTGATTAATGAGCGCTCAGTACCTGTCAGCCAAAAATAAGACTCACAGTTACTGTGTGTGATCACAGGGATATGATGTTTGTCATTCACATTGTGAGTCACTAATAATTCATTCAAGTCAAAATAGAAGCGAGTGCTGAAAACGGCCATGAAATTGCTGTTTGTAGGAGGCTCGGAGCTTCTTTTTTTTTCTCCTTCTTTTTCTGGGAACGTAAATCAAAGTGTGAGTCACAGGTGATGCAACCTGCAATTTTCTTTAATTGCATTTGTACTGGCTTGTCAAGCAGGAAGAAAAGATAAAACTGGATATGAAGGACCTGAAGTTTATGTGTGAAGTTTTTTATATATATAACTGTGTATGGTGTGTCGTGCATGGCAGGCAATTACCATCAGGGTGACGGGTTCTCGAGAAAACGCTTTATTGCGAGGATAGTGCGAGTCATAAAATCAATTTGAATGAGACACGCGTCTCTGTGATGTAAAAAAAAAAATTAAAAAGAGGTATTTGGGTTTACAGAGAAACAGATGCCCTTACCTGCTGTTCGCTGACAGTGGGCAGCACCACAGGCATGACAGAAGCAGAGGGAGTCTCTTCCAAAGGACCTCTGGTAACAACCAGCTTCACCCTGTTCCCGCACTGCCTCAGGACCTGGGCCACCTGGTCGCTGCCCATGCCGTGCAGGTCGGTGTCTCCGATTCTCAGGATGTGGTCCCCGCTGCGCAGGCGGCCATCCTGTGGCAAGAAATGATTTCTATATTAACTCTGCGCTCATTTTGGCATTGTCACTCCTAAGTGACAGGTAATTCTGTGCTTTCCTGCAATTAGCACATTCTCATTACACATAACTGACAGGAGTCATCTGTCTAGAACACTGAAAGTGTCATTGGCTGTAAGCGATAAAAAAAGACATCTCCTAAAGAAGTGACAGACACAGCTAAAGAGTCACCTGATCAGCGATGCCTCCAGGAAGTATAGTTTTGACTATAACCCCGGTGGTTTTTCCTCCAACAATACCAAAGCCAAGACCGGTGCCGTCGTTGACAAGCTCAATCGTCTCCACATGTTGCCACTGAGACAGTAACAGAAGTGAAACACAATGTTACCCAGTGTATTATTAGGAAAAATGTACACTTAACAGGTATGTTTGTTTTCTGTGTCGTGGTGCTGGATGGGGATTGCAGAGCAAAGTTCATGTAGTTTCTTAAGTCCCCACATGGAAACTGTGTCAGATCATAACACGCTCCTTGCAGAGGCCCCATTGGTGTGTCAGTGTATTCATTACCGCGCTGGAGTTGGCTGATAATGTGCTGGCAGCAGAGGGCGTGCGGGACACTGCAGGACTGGCCAGCTGAGGTATTGGCCCTCTGGCCACTGTGAGCTGCACCCTGTCTGAAGCACTCTGCAGGATGCCTATAGCCTGCTGGTGGGTCACTGTCTTGTCCAGAGGCTGGCCATTAATGGCCAATATCTGGTCAGCTTCTTTGAGTTTCCCATCGCTGTAACGGGGAAGAAGCATGCAGCAGAGGCAAGGACACAGAATGAGAACCCTTATAGTCACTAGATACCACATTATAGCTTTAATCTTTGTACCTGTAAATTTAAATTTGTCTTTGGGTGAATACATTTAAGGGTGTTTATATCTGAAACATGAAAAATGCAGCTTCCACTCTTTTAGGATTGGTGTGATGCAACATGTGTTGCAACAGCTCACAACAGCTTTACTCTGGTATTTCCTGGCAAGTATAAAAGTATCTCTAATCTCCCGAGAGAATCTGTAAACGCACCCACCTGACTGTCTGAAACAAAGTTCTAGAAATTTCAAATTAGAAATCAACAATTAACCAGATGCTGAAAGAATGTCTGGAAGAATGCATAGCAGCATGTTTTTCCTGCATACCAGTGAGCGACACTTCCTGGTTGAATTTCCTGGATGAAGATGCCGAGCTCTCCGCGGTTCTCACTCTTTAGGCCCACCACGCTGAAGCCAAGACCTCCGGACACTGGCTTCTGCAGATCCACGTGCGTCACATAACGTCCCTGCGTAATACACACACAAACCTTTATATATATATATGTGTGTGTGTGTATACATTGGCCTTGTGCTGATTCACTAAAGCATCAAAGCTACAGGCAGCCTTTAGAAGTCTATTTGAAGTGCCTCAAGAGAGAGGAGCACTGTGTGGAGTTTTCTTCTTTTTTTGACTCTCTTTGAATGTTTGGTTTGAGTTATAGGACTTATTAAAAAATAGTCTTGCCTATTTTTGTGTAAAAGTCAGTATAATGTTAAAAGATTGACAAAAAAAAGTCTACTGGGGTTTCAAAATAGACTTGCCACAATAGCATTATTTTAGCTTATGCGCATCCCTTTTCTTCTGCATATC